CTCTCATCTCGCCAAATCACTCCCTTCTCTCTTTTCTCCCTCAAATGTAGACCGTCGACGAGAAAGAACTTTCAAGCTCGAACGGGTAGCGGTGCTCGTCGGTCTGTCGTCTCCTGACTCTCTTCCTTGCATGCCACGTGGTCGCTGCTCTTTCGTCTTCATTTTCATTTATCCTGTCACCAAGCGCAAAGAAGCCATGCCGCATTGTGGCGTAGATCTGAGCGCCACAACGGCGCTTACTCAGCCAATATTTTGGTTTTTGTTTCTGTTTTGGATTGTCAAGTGGTGCTGGCCTCAGCGGCGGTAGCGGTGTGGCGATGTCGACTTTTTGTCTCTATTTTTGAATTTTGTTGGTGGTGGCGACGAGGTGGCAAGAAGTTTCAAATTGTAAGTTTCTTTTTGTAAGTTTCAAATTGTAAGGGATTGGTGGTGGTGGTGGTGGTGGTGGTGATGCAACGGTGCCAATTTTTTTGGGTCTTCTTCTATTTTTATTTGTGAGTTTTCGGATTGGAGTCGAAGTTGGCAGTGGCGGTGTTGATGGTGGTTGTGATGTTGGTTGCAGTGGTGATGGTGGTGGTGGTGGTAGCGGTGCGGTGGCTGTGGGGTTGAGTTTGTAACCAATTATTTGGTTGATTGTAATCAATAAATTCGTTAATTTGTAATCAATTATTAAAGATTGTGATCAATAAATTAGACATTTTATGATCATTGTGCTTGATTACTTGTAAACAATAATAATTTGACCTAAAAATTTGAATCGCGACTCATAAAATTTGTGATTTAAGACTAATGAATAAATTGTGATCTATAAATTTTTTAATTTGTGACCATAAACTAATTTGTAATATATATAACTTTTTATTCATGATTGAGAGTGATCAAATAGTATTGAGTTGTGACCTTAATATATTTAATTAATTATTTAGTAAATAAAATTTAATTAATATTTGATTTTTGAAATGATTCATACCTAATTTCTTAGATTTGAAATTGGGAAAATTAGGCCCAATACCGTAAAAAATTTACTAATTTGATTAATTTCCTATTAACTAATTAAATGTTTAACTAAGTATTAAATACGTTCCATAACTCCTCACCCCCTACTCGAAAACTATCAGTCCCAATTTCTAGAAAGCTCCCAAAGGCAACCCTCTCTCTTACCAAATTAATGTCACTGTTTTGCTACATTCGAATCGAAATTTGAACTTGAAGAATTTGAAACTTCGTCGCCTGAGGTTTTGGAGGAAAAAGAGTAGTCGATTTGTGGTAGTGAAGAATTAGGTTATAAAAGCTCGATTGTTGGTGATCATAATGATTTTGATGATGACTCGGAGGATGCGAAGACTACTGAGTTGAATGAAAAATTTAGTGCGACAATGGCATTTGTGGCGACTACTGCGGCCGATAAGGCGGCTCAGAAGGTGTTGAATGAGTTGTAGTTGTAGCTCGATGGATTGTATATATTTGCAACCATATATTGCTCCCAGCCATCTGCGTTGAAATTCACTGTTTGTGCCGAATGTTGATCTTTTTCTGCATTAAATATGATATATATGCAAACTTTTTAATTTGATGCAAATTAGATAGTTACATACTTCTTTAATTTGATGCAAATTAGATAGTTATCAAGATGTATTCATAATTGAATATTTCTCCTTGCAATTAAGATATATGTGGGTAGTTGAATATTGTGCTAAAATATTGAAATTTGTAAGCACCGCGTGTATTTATGGTTAAGGTATTGATGCTTCTTGTTTTTGAGCATTTGTCTGGAACTAGGAACATCAATTATTTTTAGCAATTTTCAAATTTTTGCTTCTTTGTTTCGTGCATAATTCAAGCTGTGGTCTTCGATTTTATTCTCATCCTTTGTTGTCTTCCTTTGCCATCCAAACAAAAAATGCACATCTTTATGCACCAAAAAACAAAAAAAGAAAAGTGTATTTTAACAACACTTCAAACATATGATGCTCACAATTATTTAGAATGAGGAATGACAGTCTCAGTTTGAAGGTAGCGAAATATATTTGAAAATAACCTTGTTGCACTTGAGAAGAAATTGATTGTGTCAATATATATGAAAAATTAGCTTTGAATCAACTAAACTAATGCATACAAGGTGTTTTGATGAAAGGAGAATCTGAAAAAGTGAAGTCACTTTTCTAAAAAAAGTCACACTATCTTACTTGATCAATTAGCTAGATGCATAAGTGTACTTAAGTATTATTTTATGCTAATATATAAAAGATAGTTTCGAATAAATTAGATTAATGTATGCAATGTGTTTGTTTAAGGAGAATATGGAAAAATGTCACTTTTCTAAAAGAAAAAAAGAAGAAAAAAAGTGGTATTATGTTATTAGAGCAATTAACTAAATGCATATGTGTGCGTTTTATTGAAATTTTGAACATACAAATTTAAGCATTGTTTTATATTAATACATATAAAAAGGAAAACTTTAAATCAATTTGATTGATGCATGCAAGACATTTGCTCAAGGAAAATATGGCAAAGCATGTCAATTTTTTATTTTCTATAACTTTTTTTTTTTAATTTGTGTCACTTTTTTAAATTCGTCATTTTTTTTTAATTTCTGCCAATTTTTAAATTTTTGTCACTTTTTTCAGTTGTTTTGAAATTTTTATTACATTTTTTTGTGAGAAACATCACTTTTTAATAAAAGTAAAATTGTATGTCATTTTTTAATAAAAATGTGACACTAAAATATTAAAAGTGACATTTTGTCCCCCTTTTTTGAGAAAAGTGACAATTTTCATAAAAAAAAGTGACATTGTGTCATTTTTTAATTTTAGACAATATTTTTTACTTTTAAAAAGCTTTTATATAATTTTTCAAGAACTCCTAATTTTAAGAGTATTTTTGTAAGTTATCTTTTGAAATTTTCCTTGAAAAATCTAGCTTAAACAGTTCACGCAAGGCCCACGATAAGCCCAGACTCGAGTCTTGTTGAGCTTAGGGTAGGCCATAAAAGGCTCAATTAGGTCTAGATGACTTGGCCCATTCCTTTTTTATTTTTATGTGCTCACTTCTCAAGGTCGATGGCTACTTGCAACGAGCAACTGAAATATGTAAACTTTTTGAATTTTACACTATAATACCCATAATAATATCATTTAACTGTTGAAAATTGGAATAAGAATTAGTCAAAAAATAAAAACTCTCTTTAGTTCAGTCACCTTTTATAATGAAAAAATAAATTTAGAATTTACTCAAACTCATATTCGAATATTCGGTTGACTGGATCCAAAAAATAAACTTTCGTCTTTTAATTTAAGAATTAGGCGCTCATCCCCTCGTGGGGTAACCAAGTTGGTGGAATAGGTGAACGCAAAGACTTTTGGTAACGAATTCGATTCTCTCTAGCAGCACTTTCTTTCATGTGAAAGTTGACCAACTTCCTGATCAATTATTTTTGTTCACGATCCAAGCCCCCCATATAGTTTAGAATTTTTGAGCAATTGGAACTGTCGAATCTGTCGCACGGGGCTTGTTTAGTACGGTTTAACTAGTTGGCGTGATTTGCAAACTATCACGTCAGCCCGAGAGTTTACTCAATGTGCACTCGAAAATTAGCGATTGCGGGTTCCCCCGTCATTTAAATAATAATAATAATAATAATAATAATAAAATTAGGCTCTCTTAACTTTTAAGTATTTTATGGTAATCTCTAAAGTATTGACTAGGTTGACGTGTGGAAATTTTCACCCTTTTAAATTACATTAGCCCCCGTTTGGCCCCATTTTTTCAAATTAAAATGTGTGGAATAGTATTTTTTTTTTTTTTTTTAAGAATGAGTGGTTAAAAAAGAAGAAAAATGTTTTTGATTTACGTGTAACATTATTTTTATGGAAGATTGTGTGATTAAAAATAAAAGAGAAAGAGATTAAATATAATTTAATGGGAGCCAAACGGTGGGCAAAAAATTAATTCTGAGAGTATTTGGTGGGGATTAAAATTAGATTTTTTAGTAGATTGTGATAGAAGCTTTTGAAATATGTGGATGAAAAGTTGTGAAACCCATAAAAGATGTGGCTAATACTGATTGTTTGATTTTGATTTAGATTAAAATTAGATTTTAATTGGTGCCAAACATGCTTAGAAAAACCTTTTTTTTTTTATTTTCTCAAAAAATGTGCATGCCTTTTTTCTGCACAAAATTCGGCCCCTCAAGTTTGTACATATAGACAACGATTTTGTCATTTGTACCTAAAGTTTTACACTCCCATAACCCGCCCCTCATATGGGGCTCAGGTCCCACGTCCAATAGAGGTGTGGGACCCATCCTCCATGTGATGGGTGGGTAACCCGGAGTGTTACACTCCCGAGTACATGTAGTGAAATCCTATAGACAAAAGCGTTTCAATTCAAGTTTCAAGTCTAAGCAAATCAAAATTGATTTTGTTGCGATTGTCTTGAACTTTAATTACAATTAAAATTAATTTTAAACCTTTCAATGTAATTGCAATTGAGTCCAAGATTTTATAAAGCTACAAGAGGGACTTATTCGAATATGTATATTTTTCAAGATTTTATAATTAGTTTATGTCTCGTCTATGTCTAGCTTATTGGCTGAATTTAACTCTTGGCCCGTTCAATATATTCTAAGTGTATTAGTGTCACTATTAAACTTTTTTTGCTATAAGTACAAATCGCAAACTCGAATGTGAAATAGTACAATCTTTATATACAAGGTAACAACTCTTATATATTTTTTATGAACAACTTTTTTTTATTATCAAAATAAAGTTTTGTCACAGTGTACTTCCCAATGCAAATACTTAGGACCTGTCGGGTAATAATTATGAGAATTGATTTTTTGATCGTTAAAAAGAAAAGCAGGTTCCATATGTGAGTGAAGAAATAAAAAATATTGACTACTGAATGTAACGATAAAAAAATTGATTTTTTTGGATGAAAAATCAGAACCAAACGAGGGCTTAATATAAAAATCAAAATTTATTTATTATAAAATCGTTATTTAGTGCATCGAAACTTGTCCATGTATTGGCACACATCTCAACATTAACGTGTTGCTTGAGAGAGATGCAACAAAAGAAGGAAGACACCTTTCACCTTGAATAAGTTACAACTATTCATTAAATCAAAACATAGCCTTGACAACATTAAAGAAATCGTGATCATAAAACTTCGCCTGATAATGCTGACGTGGAATAATCTTCGTGTACAAATAGAAGGCCACGCAAGCAATGGCGGGGCCCACCCAGAAAATCCAGTGTCCATTCCATAGGTGGCCACCTCTAACAACCGCTGCACCAAAACACCTAGCCGGGTTCATCCCCGCCCCGGCGTAGCCCTTTTTGGCCGTGACTGTGGTGGAGATGAACACTAAGAGACCTAGCACAACTCCCACAATTGAAAAGACAAGAACACGACCTAATGCCTTTGCTTGGCGATGATCATATGCCATCCAAACTGAAGCAAAAAGGAGTACGAAGGTACAAATTATTTCTAGCCAAAAGGCTTGGGCAGTCTCGAGGCCGATTGTAACGAGCCCATTCGGGCCAGGGGCAATCACTGTCAGGGTGCAGCCTCCAAGTGAGAAGGTTTGTTCAATGGTGCTACTAACCACAGCTTTAAGAGCTAGTGCACCTGTAGTCGCGTAAAAAAACATTGTTAGTCACTCAATTTATAGTGAGGTTTCATATTATTTATCGAACATTTCTTTGCTTTAGAGTGATAACTAGAGTTTGCTTTTTGTTTCACCTGATCATCTGATCTAAGCCAAACATTCTATTAGAAAAACTAAAGAATTTGGAGAAATGCTACTTGTACAAACTGTTTTAACAGAATGCTACGTTGACGAGATGTCACACCATTTGGGATAACAAAACAAAGTTAAACCAACCAATAAAATCTTATCAACTCAGCACCTGTAACCCTGTCTGTTAAAAAAATCTGTACAGGTAGCATTTTTCAAGAATTTTAACTTTAGTCATCAAACTGGAAGACAACGTGAACTTCATGGACTACTTTGGAACAAAATAAAGTTCGTCGATAGGGAGTTTAACCCTCACCTAGCGCGGCTCCAAGACATTGTGCACTAATGTAGATTAAGGCTTTCGACACAGAGATCAACCCAACTAGGGCAGCCGAGAAGGAGATAACTGGGTTGATGTGGCCTCCAGAAATAGGATGCACTGCAAGAAGTACTATTGCAATAATAATGGCTGCAAGGATTGACAATACAAGGTTTGGCATTTTGACATCAGTCTCAATGGTTGATATCACAATAGTGTCAAGCATGAACACAAGAACTGCTGTGCCAATCAGCTCTCCCAGTGAGGCTCTCCAAACCTTCAAGAGTAAACAAGAATCATCTTGTTTAAAAGTTTAAATTTATAGATAGAAAAAAATTTATTTGTTTAAATTCAATTTTTAGCACGTCCTTTCAGATGTAGGTAGAAATATTCTCATCAAAAGGCTCAATCATATGCATAATTTTCATACCGGTCCGGTGGCGAGTCTTGAAAGCAAGATTTTGTCATTCTAACACTATATAGAATCGCATCATTCGGAAGACTTTAATAATGACATGTTTAATCATGTATATTTAATCTTTGAGTGGGGTGGGGAGGAGCAGGGCGCGGTGGTTGAAGAGGAAAAAAAGGTACAAACATCTAAAGAAAGGAAGTCTTCCAAGCCCAGCGATTCACTCAGTGTAAGAGAAGTATTCTTCGTCCTTTTCTGCTCATCTGTCCAGTGCTCTGGCCTGCTAAACGTTCGAAGTTTTAACTTATCAAAACGACAAGAGTTTTGAAGAAACCACAACAAATGATAAATTATGCTTTATTCTTAATAAATTTGGAATCTACTACGGATACATATCTAGCTACTGTGAACATCTTTCCCATCTTTTCGTTCGCTTCACTGTTACACCTACTGGAAAATCTAAATCGACTATTTTTTTTCCAACTACAAGAAGATTTGAAAAACATATATAAATAAGTAAAAGTTGAAGGAAAGAAAATGAACTTGCATAGGTGTAGAGAAGACAGGTTGAATTTTGTTTGCACTACTCAAACTTTCTTCATCATATTCTACATGTACATGCCCATTATCACCGGCCATATCTTGTATCTGTATACTGTATTCACACGCAGATAGAGAGAAAATTCTTTGTATTCTTTACAAATTTGCTACCCCTATTTATATAAAAATATGGTAGTGGCAGTAGTAATAATTGAAGGCATTGACATTTAAATTCTGCTAATTTGTATTCAAAATATCACCACCAAGTATGGTGGTATCAGTTAGATATTAATGTTAGACAAATCTTCAGTTTGGGATAAATATATTCTTGCCTTTCTTTACTTTTCAAGGGCTCTATTTATTACCAATTTTGTATATTTTACACCTATTGTTAGCTATTGGTTGATTTACTGTATTCCTTAGTTTGTTTTTCCTGCTATTTGTGGCCATATAATAAATGAAATTATGTTGGCATTCAAAAATATATTTAGTTCCAATTTGGTATAGATTATTTAAAAACTCATTTTCAATCACGTATTTTCCAATAAATAATTTGCTCGTGAATCCATAATTTTTTTGTATTTAATAATTATACTTCATCAAAAAATCACTTTTTTCATAAAATATATTATTAAAAAATCTACATTAAACAAGCTCTCATAAACAATATGTGCCCATTAGCTGACTCAAGTGATGTTTATTGATAATAAACTCTACTCTTGCTTTTGCATCTGTGTGAAATCTCATTTGCATGAATGATTGCTTGATTCGGTGCATTGTTTTATGTTACATTTCAATATGGTTGATATGTGTTTTTTACATGAGTTTGAGAGTGACTATATTACTATGTATAATGTGTTGCATGCATGGTGATTGAGATTACTATTGTGAGGATTGATACTAGGTGTGTTCTTGTTTTAGTAAGTTCATTAGAAGTAGGTATGTTTATTGGTAATATGAAGTATAGATACCTGAAGGTGCATTGGTAAGATGTATGAGGATGTGAAGAGTGCCATTTGAATGACAAAAGGTGATGTGATTAAATGTCGGGAATCCTAATCGGATGAAGTGAAAGAGTGACATTACTATCACCTCTATTACGTGGTTGGCGATGAGAGGACTTGAGTGTTCTCGACGTACGAGTTATGCGAAATGATTTATGATAATTCTGGTGAGATCTTTTCATAAGACCATTTATGCATTGGTGGTATGTTGGCCATACTTGATAAACATGCATGGCGATAATTTGATGTTCTCCGTATGTTAAATGTGTTGGAAAGATCAGTGAATTATCATATGATGTGTGTTCATCTCATGTGTGTTATTATAAGCTCTTGATTGATTACTGTGAATATCTGTTTCTACTTAGGTTCTTGACATTAGCCCTCGGTGAAGCATAAGTATGTATAGTATGTATTTTCGATCGAAAACACAGGTAAGTTTGTGATTTTAGTTTTATTTGGTTACCTTAATTAGGCAAGTATAAACTTTGTATTGTTTGCTTGTAGGTTCATTAGGTATCAAGGTGAAAATTTGTTAGGTTTTGATAACTAATAAATTTTGGACAATGATGTTAAAAAAGGTTGAATTAAGTATATGTTATGAAGTGGTATGATTGTTCAAAACCAACAAAAGGAAGCCTTCAAGAAACTTTAACAAGTTCAAGAAGAAGAACAAAGGAGGTTGCTTTGGGTGTGGAAAGTCTGGTCACTATGCAAAAGACTGTAGACACCGGAAAAGAAACAACTCCGAAGGTAAAATCAACTCCATTCAAGAAGAAAAGATTGTGGTCACCGTGAGCGAGATAAATGCAATTAAGGGAACGGTTCCCGGGTGGTGGTATGATACTTGTGCTACGGTACATATATCATATGATAAATCTTTATTCAAGACCTATCATGAAATGGATGGAGACCAAGAGATTCAAATGGACAACGAAGTTCGGTCCAAAGTAATTGGTAAAGGAAATGTAGATTTAATCTTCACTTCCGGGAAAAACGTTACCCTTACTAATGTATTACATGTTCCGGATATAAATCGGAACTTAGTTAGTGGAAATCTCTTAGGAAAACCAGGTATCAAAAGTGTGTATGAATCCGGTAAACTTGTATTATCCCTTAAAGGGAATTTTGTTGGAAAAGGCTATTCTTGTGAAGGAATGGTCAAACTTTGTACTGTTGACAATAAAATAAATAAAGTTGATCTTGCTTATGTTGTGGATTTATTTTCATTATGGCATGCTAGGTTAGGACATATTGGGAATGAAAAAGTGTGACTTAATTTCATATGATGACAATAATGAATATAGATGCAAAACTTGTGTAGAATCAAGATGATTAAAAAACCATATCAAAGTGTAAAAAGAACATCTAGTATTTTGGAACTAATTCATACGGATATATGTGAGTTAAACGGCATGTTAACTAGAGGTGGAAATATGTATTTTATTACCTTTATTGATGACTTTTCTAGATATACATATGTGTATTTAATGAAACATAAACATGAAGCATTTAACATGTTTAGGATTTATAAGAATGAAGTTGAAAATCATCTAGGAAAGAAAATAAAAACATTAAGGAGTGATAGAGGTGGTGAATACTTTTCTAGTGATTTTAATTTATTTTGTGAACAACATGGCATAATTCATCAATGTTCTGCACCAAGGACTCCCAAACAAAATGGTTTGACTGAAAGAAAGAATAGAACATTAGTAGAAATGATTAATGCTATGCTTATATTTGCTAAGTTACCTTTTAACTTATGGGGTGAAACTTTATTAAGTGCATGTAGGATACTTAATAGGATTCCTTCAAAACATACTAAGGTTTCTCCTTATCAATTATGGAAAGGAAGAAAACCAAACATTGGATACTTCAAAGTGTGGGGTTGTCTTGCCTATTGCAAGAACACGAACCCTAATAGAAACAAATTAGGTCCAAGAGGCATTAAATGTGCTTTTTTTGGATATGCTAACAATAGCAAATCTTATAGATTGTTAAATTTGGAGACCAATGTGATTATTGAATCAAGTGATGTAGAGTTCTTTGAAGATTCGTTAACCTCGAATAACGAATTAAGGGAAAATCTTGAAAATATCCCAAGCTCAAGTGGAATACGGGATGAAATATCTTCTAAAGATATTAATGAATATAATGAACCACGAAGAAGCAAAAGAACTCGAGTTAAGAAGTCTTTAGGACTGGATGAAATTGATTCTCAACTTATCTCCTTTTACTTAGTAGAAGGAAATGAGTTGAATGTTGTAAGAACAATTCCTTTTGTTCTACAAGTGGAAACCGATCCTAAAACTTATAAAGAAGCTATGGCTTCTCGAGATAGCATGTTTTGGAAAGATACAATCAAGGATGAAATTGATTCAATAATGTCAAATAAAACTTGGGAACTTGTAGATCTACCACCCGGATCCAAACCTATTGGTTGTAAATGGGTATTTAGGAGAAAATACAATATTGATGGTTCTCTAAATACTTTCAAAGCTAGACTTGTAGCCAAAGGTTATCGACAAAAGGAAGGAATTGACTATTTTGACACTTATGCACGGGTAGCAAGAATAACTTCAATTAGGATATTGTTTGCATTAGCCTCGATATATGACTTGCATGTTCATCAAATGGATGTCAAAACGGCATTCCTAAATGGGGATCTCGATGAGGAGGTCTATATGGAACAACCATAAGATTTTGTTTTACCAAGAAATGAACATAAGGTATGCAAGTTAATTAAATCGTTATATGGGCTAAAGCAAGCACCTAAGAAGTGGCATGAGAAATTTGACATAGCAATTATATCATATGGATTTAAACATAAAAGTGTAGATAGATGTTTGTATTCTAAAGTGCGTGATGATTACATGATATTTATATGCTTATATGTTGATGACATGTTGATTATAAGTAATCACATGGATGGGATAAAAGAAACGAAGAGGTTTCTATCTTCCACATTTAAGATGAAGGATCTTGGACAAGTTGATACTATTTTGGGTATCAAAGTCTCAAAGACTAGTGGGGGTTATTACCTTAGTCAATCACATTATATTGAGAATGTGATAAATAAGTTCAAACATTTGAACATAAAAGAGTATAATACCCCTATTGATCCAAGCTCAAAACTTGTAAAAAATGATGGAAGAGAAATTGCTCAATTAGAGTATGCAAGTGCTATTGGAAGTCTTATGTATGCAGTTCAATGCACAAGACCAGATATAGCCTATGCAATAAGTAAACTTAGTAGGTTTACTAGCAATCCAAGTAATGAACATTGGAAAGCAATTGGGAGAGTTCTCGGATACTTAAAGAAAACCAAGAACTTAGGTCTACAATATACTAAATTTCCAGCAATATTAGAATGATTTACTGATGCTAGTTGGATATCTAGCACGAATGAAAGTAAATCAACTACGGGTTGGGTGTTTACTCTAGGAGGAGGTGCAGTTTCTTGGAAGTCGAAGAAACAAACATGCATAACACATTCAACTATGGAATCTGAATTTGTAGCCCTATCAGATACAGGAAAGGAGGCTGAATGGCTTAAAGACTTATTCTATGAGATACCTTTGGGATCAAAGAATATTTCTTCAATACCAATAATGTGTGATAGTCAAGCCACTTTAGGTAAAGCATACAATGATGTATATAACGGGAAGTCTAGACATATGAGTCTTAGACACAACTACATAAGGAAGTTAATCAAAGATGGAATAATTTCCCTAAATTATGTAAGGTCGAATGAAAATTTGGCGGATCCTCTAACTAAACCTCTAAATAGAGATTTAGTGGCATCTACTTCAAGTAGGATGGGATTGAAACTCCTTAACTGAAATATCCACCAATGATGGTAACCCTACCTGTCGTTACTCAAAAGGTTTTACACGGGTTCAAAGGGTAACAACAAGTCATTCGATATGTGAATAGTTACAGCTTTATTATAATCCGCAATAATCCTATCCTAGATTAATATAATGCTGGTTGTTACTGAAACGAGGGTTGAGCTATAAGGTCTTAATAAAGTTCAGTGTAAAACCGCAAGTACTTCTAAAAGTAACAAAGGTACTGGAAGAACTTTACCTAAATAAACTTCAAGGTGGTGCCGCTTTAATAGAGAGTTGGAGTTCTCTCTTAAAAGTTTATTGAAAAGG